GGGGGGGTGGGGGGCAGAGTAAAAAGGATAGTAGGACACAAACTTGGGATAATTACAAAGTAACAAGCATTCTAATTGAATCATATTAATATCAATGGATCTTAAATACTGATGAAATTGCACCTTAGTTTGAGTAACACTACAATGCCACAATTTGTTTGGTATATTCCCGCTCTGTTTGTGAGTTAACTCAAATATTTGATTCCATTGAATCGTTAGAAAGTGATGGATTTAAGCTTTCATGTTTGTGCGAGTTTAGCGTCTAGACAATTTTGTTGTTTTGCAGGAGAAAGGATCTAAAGAAATTGCTCTTAAGTCTATGGGCAGAGCCATTAGCAAAACAGTAATGATAGCTGAATTAATAAAGGTGCGCGCAGCATGTCTATGTGATTTATGTCCACTTACTGAATTCTCTTTGAAAGTATTTTTTTCAATAGCATGTAGTATCTAGTTTCTGTTTCCAATTACTCGATCGATAAAGCATGTAATCTTTATGCATCAGAGGAAGATGGTTGGCCTTCATCAGATCACATCGATTGGTTCAACTGATATCACTGATACGTGGGAACCTTTAGAAGAAGGACTTCTTCCGTAAGATTAGTCCATCAAGTAACTTTTTTCTGGTCTGGGATGTTTGCTCAATAAGTTTCTTTATTTATTAACTAATAATATGCAGGCTCGAGACTACTCGTCATGTGTCCGTCATAACAATTATCCTTTCAAAGGAGGAGTTAGATACCTCATCAGCCGGGTTAGTAATCATGATTTATAGTATAGTATAGTATAGTATATCAACACTGCATTTCGTGCTCTTCCTTTTCTTGAATTGGTCATGACCACCGTTTAGTAAATGTTCGATCAGTCAATCAACTATGCCTCATCACCATACTAGTAGAATCTGGACTATGGTACAATTGGCATTATTACTTATAATGATTAATACTACTCCTATTAGATTTGGCCATCTGGTTTAATAGTTCAAAACAATACCTCTAACAGTATGTCTAATCGTTCTTTTGATAAGAACTAGTATGTGTTAGTAATATTGACTCATTTGTATAAGATACTGTTACTGTTTCTTTTTTAACATCTAGTACTAGTATATACTAAATTTACACTATCTGATTGTCCAAAAAGGCAACTACAAGTAACTGTCCATGAAAAGTGGAATTGGTAACCTGGAAAATAAGGCAAATTACATGCTACAACAGCTTAAAATACGTTGATGTGAAAATGCTTTACATTGTTTTGTCAGTGTATATAATTTAAATCCATTTCTGAACATCCCGGTTGGTACGTGTAGCAACTATGGATATCATGAAGTTGCAGATGGTGTAACTATGTCTTTGTGCTTGCATTTCTTGTTATGCCCCTTTTAAGACACATAAATTGTCTCATAAGCAGTCGAAATTTGCAGGTATCAGCCACCTATTCCAGCAGATCAAGTCAGACCACTGACCGAACATGATTATGGAGGAGGTACACCATACATTGGTTTTTCATTAGGGAACATTTTTTTTTTTCATTATCTTTTTAAAATTCTTGAATTTTCTCATGAAGAAGGTGGTGACTGGTGCGGCTTGAACATAATGTTTATTTTGGTTATTTTATCTCTATCTATATGTAGCTCCTTATTTTTTATTATGTTATGAATTTCCTTCTTTTCCTAGGAGCCTTAGAGTAACTGGTACCGTTGTTGCCTTGTGATAAGAGGTCATAGGTTACGTTTGAGTTGTGGAAATAGCCTCTTACAAAAATGCAGGGTAATGCTGCGTACAATAGACCCTTGTGGTCCCACCTTTCCCTGGACTATGCACATAGTGGGAGCTTAATGCACCAACTTCCTTTTTTTGTCTGCTTCTTTTCCTACACATCTTGGTTTACTGTGTACAGGGCGTTTTAATGATGGTGTGCCTGGAAATGGTGGAGAGGGCGGATGGAAAGGAGGTCGTGGATATAATGGTAGAGGCCGAACTGGAGGAAGAGGTCGTGGTAATCGTGGACGTGGTAACAACTATGGTGCAGTAGCTGGTTCAATGCCCATTCAAGGCCAGGGTATGCTACAATCCTTTTTCACCTAAGATACATATATAGTACTACTAACTTTTCGTGTAAAACATATTGGTTCTGCTATATATATGACACCAACGTCTTATCTTTTAACATGAGATCGGATCTCTTGCAGGTCGGGGCCAAGGCCAAGGACAGGGACAAGTACAGGGACGAGGTAGAGGTCGTGCTCAGGCTACTAAATCAAATGATCCTGTTCGGGCATCAGTTGCTTATGTCTGAAAGTTTAGGACAATTCACTTGCTGTTTTTACAATGTGTCCATGCTTGTGTTCTTCAAAATCTAACAGAAACTCAAGTCCAATACTCCTCTCATTCTTTTAGGGTAAGATATGACTTGTGATCGTGCAAACGATCAAAATGATCTAAGCTAATAAATGAACAGGTTAAGCGAGTCATGTTTTTTTTCCAATGAGTTGATTTTGACACACCTACTTCTCCTTGTGGATTTGATCTGTCTTTGTATGTCGTTTTACAAATTGAACATATATACTTTTACAATTTTTAGGAAATTTAATTTATGAGCCTATCATTTATTTTAATTTCTAGCAATATCATTTTTATTAGTTTTAAAATACCACGTGAAGTGATTAAACTAAACTTAGAGAAAAAGAAGTACATAAATTAGTTTAATAAATTTCTTTTATCTGGAGGTGATAAGAGATAAGCTATTATACATTTTGTTTTTCTTTAGCTTTATTCAATTTCTTCCCAGTAGAAATATTTTTTGCTACTCAAAATTATTTTACATTATCACCTCCAAGAAAATAAATTATATGTTATGTTAGTCTTAGTTGTTGTGCTGCGTAAACCACGAGGTCGGCAAAATTAAACTGTTAGAGGAAAAACTAATACCACTTTTTTAATTTAATAAGCTTTTACATGCTACTATATGGCTAAAACTAAAAGTACTTCACTATTTCAACTCTACTGATTAAAATATTTTTAAGTTGACTTGAAGCTTTTTTTCTATAATTTACTTTCCATGAGGATTAAATTAAAGAAGAAATCCAAATCTAGCGGTAGCTATTAAGAAATAAGTTACATATTCTAGCGATACCTATTAAGAAATAAGTTATTTATATTTAAATTAACCCAAACGAAAAGCAAATATATAATACTAGTACAAGAGCTGTTAATTTTGGCTTGGTTTCCCACTTGGAAACATGAGGCTTTTTTTCCTTTTATAAATACCAGTCCATAAATCATTATGTCCACTGTCCAGCATTCCCACAAAGCCAAAAAAAATTAGGCCTTTGGTGTTTGTTTTTTTTTCAAGAAAAAAAATGAGATCCTCATTATCCAACACAATTTTCATTACTCAGTTTTTGATCTTTATAACTATTTGTTTTGATCAACATGTGTTTGCTAAATCTTATCTAAATGCTTCTGAAAGACATTCAATTAATTCAATTTCACTTGAAGCATTTTCTCTCTTAAAATGGAAAGCAAGTCTTGAAAATACAAGCCAAACACTCCTTTCCTCTTGGTTAATTACTAGCAATAGTACTAATCCTTGTCATAATTGGTGTGGCATTTTTTGTGATAATATTGGAAGAGTTAATCAAATGAATCTTGCAAATTATGGGATTAGAGGTAATCTTCACCATCTAAATTTCACTTCTTTTCCTCATCTTCAATTGATTAACTTTTCCAGTAACTCACTCAATGGTACACTTCCAAAAAACATGTTCAATCTTTCAAGATTAAGTTTCCTATATTTGAGTTACAATCAATTTGATGGAGTGATTCCACATGAAATAGGGCTATTGAAGAATCTCAAGCAGTTAGACTTGTCGATAAATCGTTTTATTGGCTTTATCCCTTCATCTATTGGTAACTTGATTAAACTTGAGTTGTTATTTTTATCAGGTAATGAACTCTATGGCCCTGTCCCTTCAAGTTTTGGTAACTTAAAATCCCTTGTGCATTTGTGTTTGCTTAGAAATAAACTCAATGGATCACTTCCAAAAGAGTTTGAAAATCTTACACATATGCAAACTTTTCAAGTAGCAGAGAACAATTTTTCTGGTCATTTGCCACAAAATGTGTGCCTTGGTGGATCACTTGCTAAATTCATAGCATATGACAATAAATTTATTGGTCATGTCCCTAAAACCTTGAAAAATTGCTCTACGCTATCAAGAGTTAGGCTTGATGGTAACCAATTGTCTAGCAATATATCAGAAGCTTTTGGTGTCTATCCAAGTCTAGTTTACATGGATTTGAGTCACAATAAACTATATGGCGAGTTATCGTCACAATGGGGCTTTTCTCATAATCTAACAAGTTTGAAGATCTCCAAGAACAACTTGTTTGGTGCCATACCAGTTGAAATAGGAAATTTGATCAAACTAGAAATGCTTTATCTCTCTTCAAATCACTTGACCGGCGAAATTCCTAAAAGTTTAGAGAGGCTAACTCTCTTGCTGGAACTTGATTTACATGAGAATAGAATTTCAGGAGAAATACCTATAGAAGTGGGGAAGTTGTCTAAACTTACAAAACTTGACTTAGGTGCGAATAATATGAGTGGAACGATTCCAGGAGAAATAGGAGATTGTAGGCAGCTTTGGTACTTGAATTTAAGCAAGAACATGCTGAACACAACTATTCCTTCTAATTTAGGTAACTTGCACTCTTTAGCCTATCTTGATCTCAGTTATAACATGCTCAGTGGTGAGATACCGTGGCACATAGGGAGTTTGAGAAGTTTGGAAAGAATGAATCTTTCGCGTAATAACTTGTCTGGTTCAATCCCGCCTAGTTTCAATGAACGCGTTAGTTTGAGGTCAATTGATATATCTTGCAATCAATTGGTTGGTCCCCTTCCCAAGATCGTGGCATTTCAAAATGCATCGCGTGAAGAATTAAGAGATAACAAGGATTTATGCAGCAATGATCATACTGGTATGAGACCTTGCTCTTCATTGAGGAAAAAAGAGAGAACAAGTAGAAAGCTTATACTGACCTTAACTCTGTCTCTAATTTTGGTTGCCTTGCTTCTACTTGTGATTACTTGTATACTTTTTCGAATGAAAAGGAAAAGAAATAGAAGTATTCAGCTTAGAGAACCATCCAGAAATTCTTTTTCAGTTAGGGGCTTTGATGGGAAAATAGCACATGAAAACATAATTGCAGCAACAGAAAACTTTGATAGCAAATATTGCATTGGGAAGGGAGGACATGGAAGTGTCTATAAGGTTGAGTTACCATGTGGTCAAGTTGTTGCAGTGAAAAAAGTTCATGCTTTAGAAGATGAAGAATCTGATGACAACTTGATCAAAAGCTTTTCAAAAGAGATACAAGCTCTAGTAAACATCCGCCATCGGAATATTGTGAAGCTTTATGGGTTCTGTTCACACGCGCGCCATTCATTCTTGGTTTATGAGTTGTTGGAAGGAGGAAACTTGTCACAAAACCTTAGCAATGAGGGTAGAGCAAGAGATTTAAATTGGCTCAAGAGGGTTGATATTGTCAAGGGGATAGCAAACGCGTTGTGTTACTTGCATCACGCGTGTTCACCTCCTATAGTTCATAGAGACATATCAAGTAACAATGTTCTCTTAGATGATGAAGGCAATCCCCATGTTTCTGATTTTGGTACTGCTAAACTCTTAAGGCCTAACTCCACCAATTGGACATCGTTTGCTGGAACTCTTGGCTATGTAGCTCCAGGTATTTAGTCTTCTTTACTTTCTAAACTTCGTGTTAAGTCAAAATCAGACAAACAAATTGAAACAGTAACTAGGAATTCATTACTTCAAAATCGTTCACTCTTTCACACAATTTTCTAATTTGTTTGTAGAGCTTGCTTACACAATGAAGGTAAATGAGAAGAGTGATGTTTACAGCTTCGGGGTGCTATCACTAGAAGTTATTCTAGGTCATCATCCAGGTGATATTATTCAAGCTATATCATCATTTTCGCCAGCATCAGGAGTGAATGGAACGCTGTTAAAGGAATTGATTGACAAACGGACACTAGCTCCTGGAAAACAAGAAGCAGAAGAATTGATCAAGATCACAAAACTAGCATTCGCGTGTCTTCATCAGAGTCCTCTAGCTCGGCCAAGTATGAAGCAAGTTTGTGCATCTTTATCAAAAGAAAATTGGCCTTCAAAAGGCTTGTTCTCCACTGTTACATTAGGCCAGTTGCTTGAACCAACACTACTAAGATGTTGATTTTTATTTTTATTTTGCATACCTTTACATTACTGTATTTGTTAGTATATGAATTCTAAGTGTTGTCAAACATTTTTGACAAGAAATACAAGATTGACGATGTTCGATTGAAGAAATTTCTGAACAAATTTTTAGAATTTAAAATAGTTGACAATAACATAGATTGTCGTGTATCAAGATCAAGAACTACAAGTCATTATTCATGATCTACTTAGTGAAGGTATGATTGTGATTCTCAACAATGTTCCTGAAATGGAAAAGAATTTGATATCTACATCAAATATGTTTTTGTTTATAATAAGGCTGTAATTAGCAAATATAATATGTATTGAGAGACTTTTCAAACTCAATATAATTGCAATTGATATGAATAAAATGATTTTAATCCTAGCAGATAGTAGGAGGAGTAGGAGAAAGTATGCTCATTATATATAATTGAGTATAGACAATCTTACAAAAGAATACATAATCTTATAAAAATGAATATATTATAGTTCATAAATAAGATATTAGAATATTTGTAGATATCGTATTGATAAATCATAAATATTTTATGTTTTTTTTATAAATAAATATTTGCGTATACATATAAAGACTCACTAGTAAACATTAATATTTAATAGTAACTAGCTAGCTAGTTTTAAATTCTTTCACATCGTACAAATAATCTTCTCACGCCAAATATAAGTTGTTGTTTTTTTTGTAAAATTTGAAATAATAGGTTTGTTTCTTACCCCCTCCATTTCATATTAATTGAATTGTTGAGGTGTTTCACACCCTTTAAGAAAAGAAGATTAAGACATAAATTAAGCTTAACTTTCCATTTCTACCCTTATTAATTATTATCAAAATTATGATTAAAATAACTAAACATTAATTAATAATTAATTCCAATACTAACTAATGAAGGGTAAAATTGAAAAAACATTCTAAAAGTAGTATTGAAAATTAAACAATTAAATTAATTTTAAAAAATGTATCAACAATTTAATTAATATGAAAATGAGGAGCAGATAAAACTTATGGATCAAATTTTAA